TGGTAGCCGGATCAATTCCAATTGATAACAGTGCCCTATCTCTTTCTGCTGCAGAAATATTGAGACGTAGACGTTCAATTTCAAGCTTCATAGCTTCTACAAACTCAAGCTTCTTTCCCTGTGTAATGTCAGACATGCAAGAATAACCCTTAAAAGTGGAACTTTAAGAAGAAAGATACATGTGAGGAGAATAGATAAACCAAGGAAAGAATCATACAATCTGAAATATAGTTTTGGCAAGAAGTAATCACATTTCCAGATACCAATTTCTCCCTCCTAGTTAAATTTAATAAGGATTAAGTAACATACCATGTCTGGACCCACAAGGGACTTTAGAAAATTTAAGTACAGATGAGCACCACTTTCCTTGGGCCTTTTCTCTTGTGGGACAGATCCGCCAGGAACAGTTTCAGAGCTGCGATATTCAACAACTGCTTGGTCTAAGAAATCAAGCATGTCATTGTCTCCACTTGCAACACATTCTACCACTGGTTGTGGGAAGGGGTCAGAAGACGAGTCCTCTCCTGTCAAAAGGTCAAGTAGATTACTGGGAAAAGGATCTTTCTGTTGTACTGGTGTGAAGACAGTTTCAGTCTGTGAACATTTTGCTGCAAATGGATTCAAGTCAGAAGAAGATGAAGAAGGAATTTCATCTTCATCTGGTTTCCTTGCAAGTTCAGCTAATCTTCCTTCAGTACGTTCACAAGTAAACATTCCTTTCCATGGAAGAGAAATTCCAAGGACTTCAATCTACAACACAATGATGGCTAATGATAAACTTTAACTAGTTCAGAGCATGATGAAGCTAATAGATAAATCATGAATTCAAAGTTTGGAATTTAGTAAGTACCTGACCAAGAGTCATAGGAATTCTAACAGAACCAGCTGGATAAAATGTAACAGCAACTACACGGGTTAAGAAATCTAACTGTCCTTCTAGTTCTTCAAAATCATACAGCAGTGAAAGACTTGAAGTATCTTTTTCATGAAGACGTGCACCAGCTCCAGTAACAGCCATATCCTCAGAACTAATTGGCCCTGGTAAGGGTATCAAAAGATTTGTACCATTGGCACAGCGTGGTATCGAAGCACCCTGTCCAGAAAACATAATTACAGGCAATCGGTAATCCAGTTCAACTAACTTGCATGTAAATCTACATGATCTCTTCCAAACAATAAAAGAGAAGGGACAAGACCTAAAAGAGAGTTAACCTCAACAACTAATTTAAGGTCCTCTATGTGGCGTCCGGTTCTCACGTCCACAGTGGATGGACATGTCAAGTCATCCGCACCGTGTGAAATGGTGAGTAGAAGTTGACATACATGGCAAGGCTCACTGAGATAGATAAATAATTCAATGATATCTGCAGCTTGTGGACATAGCTGCAAAATAAATAAAAAGTATGAAATATTCTTAGCTCAAGTCTTCAAGTAATGAAAACTACGAGGTAATGTTATATCTAAGTGGAGGTACCCAAGTTACGTCCTTCCTCTTGATACTCAGCAGAGTGGACCCATCATTGGAACTTTCAGACATGCTAGGTACAGGTTTCAGAAAGAAACCAGATGGTCGAGAAAGTACCTGACATGAAATTTTTTGCAGTGAGAAGTAGACAGAATAGAGAAAGCAACAAAATAGTAGAGTTTACACATCAACAAATATGTTATGCTCTTAGGAATCATATATCTACACAATAGACAAAAATAAAGAGTATCGGTCCAGTATGAAAAAACAAACTACCTACGCGCAAAACACGTAATTCATACTTTAGAGCAGTTAATATACATGGAAAAAGGTGAGCTGTGAGATGGAAAGAAGTTTACTGAAATCGTGCCAATTTGCTTACATGTAAAGGCTGAACAGGAATTGATGGAAGATGCTTGAAAAGCCTCATTCCCAGAAACATCTCCAGCTGCTTTTGCCGTGAACTATCAACCATCGCATTTTTGTATCTTCTCTGTAGAGTAATTTTCATGTTTTTCTGTGCTGCAGAAAACTGTTTAAACGCTCCTGATTCTTCGCTGAAGATGTTGAGAATTTGGCTGTGCATAGCTTTCGAGCCAGTATAGAGGGTTGCATGGATATCACCTTGTTGCAGAAAAAGATCAGCAAGCTCAGACACAGGAGATAAGATAGTTGATCTTTTAAATTCCTCAAACTTCATGTCAAGTCGCTTCCATGGTTTATCAGGACATGGATGACTCCATGTTGTTGTCTTTGTATTGTGATCTATATAATACGATTTTCCAGTTACTGCATCAGCTCTTTTTTCCCACCCCGGTGGAAGAGGAGCATTATATCCCCCATGGTTATTAGCAGAATTATAACCATATCCAAGTTCACTGTCAAGTGATATTCCCAGCCTTCTACATTGCTCTACAAACACTTGAAGACCACCAAAGAAACTAGCCGCATTTGTTCGATCCAAAGAATCAGCACAGTTAAAGCGTATCACCCCATTTTGATGTGATCTCAAACAGAAGGCACCTTCAAAATCATCAATACAGATTACCTCGCCTCTGCAATCTTTTAGTCTTTGGCGTGAAGGCAAATAGTCGCCTTCAGAAATTCCTATTGCCATAGTGGGAGATTTTAGATACATCCACAATCCTTCAATGGTTTGTTGTTCCCCCTTTAACTTCACGCTGGCATGCCAATCATAATTAATTAGGTGAACACGAGTATAAGGAAGCTTTCCACTGGATCTGATAAAGTTCATCGATTCTTCAAAATGCTGTACTAAGATACATTCTGATTTCCCTTCTCCACTTCTTAGCAAGTTAACACACACAATAGGAACAAAAGCCCTTTTCTTCTGGTTTTCCCCAACTGGTTCATCTAGATTCCTAGTATCATATCGCTTGCTTAATCTTTGGTAATACTCCGTACTGCCTTTATAAGGATCCCTATCGGCCACATAAATTTCTGCTTCTGCTGCAGTCATCTTCAATTCTGCACCCCACCATATCGGTATGGTGCCACGTCGCCAAATGTACGAGTTGAAAGCAATGCTTTGACCATGCCTTTTAGGTGTCCATACAAGCTGCTCACACTCAACTTCGTTACCTGCACTACACATATACTTCTAAATTAGGCCCTAGTCAAATCGAGAGCCACACTTGCATCAAATGTTTGCCTTACTTCCAGACAGCCATTGCTTTTGAGGGTCCCATCAAAACTCATACAAATACCCACAGTTTTGTAGGAAGAGAGGCTAACCAAAAATCTTGAAAACTAATAGAAGTTCTAAGGGAACAACAAAGAAGTAAAGAGAGAGGAGCATTTTGGGGGGCCTCTCACCTGTGCCAGAACATGAATTAATGCCCCTAGCTAGATAACGAGTCCCTGGATGCAGTCTGCTACGACGGGCCATTAGAGCAACAATCCCTTCTAGCTGACCTGAGCTCCCAAAAGGTCGATATTCTGCAAACCCCTATAATTAAAATCAAATAAGAAGATATGATATGGTGTCATATCATCGTAGCCAAATTTACATAAAACAGAAATCGAATAGGTAGATCAACCATCATCGATTCATTAATGGAGGACGAACCTGCAGAAGAATGACACAGTGTTCAGGCAGCCCAATATTCTTAAAAGGCATGGACAGCCATCTATTCCATACGAATTCATCATCAGGGGTTTGCAGTGGCATACGGCTTGGGAAGGGCCTAGTGATGTCCCTAGTATCACAGAAGTAGTGCTTCCCGTCGATGTCAAGCTCTGTTAACTCCTGAATATTCTTGATTTCACCTTTTCCTTGAGGCTGTGGATTGTAAAGTGGTATTTTGACCCATTGACTCTCAGACACTGTATATACACATCCTCCACCAGGCAAATCCGGAATACTTGGAGTTAGCCTGGTTGCAACTAGGAGCATCCCAAAGCTGCCCAACACAGCATAGCCGAGAATTGCTCTGCCATAAACTGAGCTTCTAACACCTCCTCGTGATCCATTCGTGATATAATCTAGGGCTTCACGCTCTGACTTAAAACTATCAAGACCACGCTTACCATTGTACCGCAGGATACCAGTGGTAGGATCGATATAGATAACTTGAGTACCAGACTTAGACAACAGACTTGCAATGACATAGACTTCACCAGAGTCTAAGGTGACAACAACTATAGATGTGTTTTTTGAACCACCTACTCCAAGAAGATTAGAAATTAGCCAACCAAATAATGAAAAACACCTAAGAGTGAAAAAATAACCACTTCCATCTAGAAAAAAAAGAAACTCACCTGGTGGATGCAGATCCATCTGAACTCAAGACCAGGCGGACTAGGTGCCCTTATTTACAGCTTCGCAGACCAAATATATCAAATATGGAACCAACAATCTAACAAAAAGAAAATAAAATAAGGAACTTTCACATTTGACATCCAGAGAAACAAACAGCAAGAGAATCCAAAATGCAGCATAGTTAGTTCTACACTTTGTTATTCCTTATAACAATCTCTAATATCACTGAGCCAAAAGCTACGAATTTTCTCACAAATTCCGATTGAAAACAAAAATCCAAGTACCAGAGATCTGAGACTTAATAGCAAAATTTAAAGACGCAAATCGAATATTCAAATTACGAAAACCCAGAAAGATAAAACTTTCAGAGAACTCGAATCGAATCGAATCGAATCATAAGAGAAGGAACTCACCTTAATATTGCAGAGATGATCAGATGCAAAAAAGAAAAAAAGAAACTCACGAAGTCATAGGCGAACAGACGAAAGATGATGAGTAGAAATTTTTTGCTGTTACTCAACCCACAGAATAAAAACAATTACAGTACGACACGTGTAAAATGCGCAATCAATTTACGTAAAAGGGTAGAAATTATTGATAACTTCGACATTACCCCCATTAGTTTTAAAACGTTACAAAATTGACCAAATCAAATAAAAAAGACAAAAAAATATAGAAGAGATGTAATAACGGCTTTGACAAGCCACACGATTCTCTTCGCTTATCTTCCTCCACCCAATCCATATTGCGACACAATCTCTTTCGAATCCACGCGCCTCTATCTTTTTCAATACACTCGTGATTAGCCAGGTTTTAATAAGATCAGCTCACTCTTTTCATCATCGTCGACCTTGACCCTGTTCCTGATAGGTTAAATTTACTGCATTCATCTCTCTATGAGTTTCTTCTGTTGTTTAATTGGATGATGGGTATTTCTTGTTGCAGGCTTCAGACGAAACCCATTATTGCTAAACTGCTGCTGGGAGTTTACTTGTCTGTATCTTCTTGTTGGAGTCGCTGTATCTTCTTCTTGGTCTGTGATTTTTGTTTTCTCCTCCTTGGGAGGTTCTTTATCCTGTCTCAGATTTACTGGATTGTCCTCTGAAATTGATTTGTTGTTCTTTTTCTGGTATGTTGTAAAAGCTATGAGATTTCTTACAAGTATCCAGGACTGATTAATATTTGTCGAGACCAAAATGTTTCCCCTGTGCTCAGCCGCAAGCTGCCATTACCATCCTCAGGTGAGATTTCTCTTTATAGAAATGGAAGCTAATCACCAAATTGGTTGAAAAATGATTAATTTTGGCGCTGGGATGATATAGTTTGTTAGGGCTGTGATGGATATATGCTTTGTCATAGAAATGCTGGATTCATTTGCTTAGACAAGTGCCTCATAACGGACTGTTTCTGCAGATTTTGTTTCCTGTCAATTGGCGAGGCTGTTCTTCCTTCAGGAGAGAGTTGATTCACAGATACAGTTCTGGTGATAAGGCCTTCTTTGGTATCTCTAATGGAACACACCTGCAGAAGAGTTTCCTACCTCAAGCCACTGGGAGTTTCTTCACCGATACTATCGACAAAATAGAACAACCAGTATCAACATTGGGAAGTTTGTGCCGGAATGAGTTGGACAGAATAAACTGTGTTTATGACATGAGTGAAGCTGTTGTAGTGGGTGATGGGGGACTGACATATGTAGAAATTGGAGAAGATGCTTTCCCTGTTGAAGCTGTTCCAACAGATGTTTCCCCTGTTCAAGCTGTTGTAGTAGATATTTCCCCCGTTGAAAGCCTTTCTGCTGAGACTTTCACCGAAAAGACCAGTAACCTTATAAAGTCAGTTGAGTCGGGGACCAAATCAACTGTTGATATATCTCCGGATAGTGATGTCTCTCTTCCGGATACTCTAGATCTGAATCCGGGATCACTTCCTGATTCAAAAGCTAGCATTGATAAATTTTCTTCTGGTGTCAAGGAGTCTTTGAGTTCTTCACTTCCTGATGCGAAAGCTAGCATTGATGACTTTTCTTCTGGTGTCAAGGAGTCCTTTAGCTCATCACTAAGCCAAGGAGAAAATGCTGTAAAGAACACTTTGGATTCCTTTTCCTCGTCTGTGACATCCATTACTAAGAATGCTTCTGAAGTTGTAGATAGTGCATTTACCAGAGCATTTTCTACGCTAGATCAAACAGGAGATATAGCTGGAGACAAGTTTTCAGATTTTTCTATTGGCTTGAAGGAAGCTTCAAACAGAGCAGCTGCTATTGCCATTGATCTTTTGAGGCAATCAGTTGGTATTGCAGAGAATTCTCTAACAAATGGAGTTTCTTTTATTGTGTACTCTTATGGGTCAGCAAAACAGTTACTTCCTCCAGATGTTAAGAGTGCCCTTAACTCATCAGAAGATGTTGCTCTAAAATTATTGAGTCCCGTGGGAGCTGTGTTGCAGCAGGTGCTTTGTCTTATATACTGAAGGTTGCATTCATATTTTGATAGACGACATCTTTCTAACAGCATCATGATGACAGGTATCTGTTGCCATTGGAGGTTTGGAGAGAAATTTGGGTTTGGATCCAGATGACCCAATCATTCACCTTTTTCTTTTCGTAGGCACCACAGGAACCTTTTGGTACACGGTTTTCTTACCCTGGATGGATGTTAAACTTTCCTTTATTGAGAGGACAATGTAGTATAGAAGAATTTATATTTTCCACCAGATATTTGCAGGGTTCTATATCGGGTTTGGACATATGGTGGATATGCTGGAGATTTGTCTCCAAAGTCAACTCTGGAGCTTTTAACATCAAGAGAAAAGTCAGTGCTTGTAGATGTTAGGCCTGAAGTAAGACGTTCTTAAGTTTCTAACAAGTTCCGATTTCATGATATATAACTTTCTTAAAACCTCCTTGGCTATTTCTTTCACAAAATGTTTCGTCAAAGACTTTGAGTTGAAATAAAAATGTTTATTTTGGCTAACTTTTCTTGAAGGCCTTGAGAGAGAAAGATGGAATCCCGGATCTGCGGAGAGCAGCCCGTTATCGGTATTCTAGCGTGACACTGCCTGAGGTTGGTTTCAGCATCCTCATTATTGTAGACCACATCTAATATATAATATATATACACTCCATTGTTGTAATTAATTAACACGACGAAGTTTCAGCAACCACTACAAAAGAAAATCAATGATCAATGTACCATTAAGTAGGATTAAAGACTTACCTTTGCTCACAGTTTTATGGTTCTTGTTCTTGATTCATATTTAAGGTTGACGGTGCTGTTAAACGACTTCTGAAAGGTGGAAGTGAAGTTGAAGATATCTTGACGGCAGTAATCATCAAGAACTTGAAAGCAGTTCAGGTATCCACCTTCATGCCTTTTTTTGTAACTTACGAGGGTTTTTGTAGTTCATGCCCAAGCGATTCACTGGTGGACTTTATATATCTAAATTATGCTGACTTCTCATAAACTTTTCTTACCCTGCTACTTATAGGACAGGTCCAAGGTTATTGTTATGGATGCTGATGGAACTAGTTCGAAGGGTATTGCAAGAGCTTTGAGAAAAGTTGGGATTAAGGCAAGTCATATGGGATTAATTCACTTTGAGCACAATACTACCTTGAAACATTTCTAAATAAGCTATTCGTTGGTTGTTTATATTGTGACAGAGACCATACTTGGTGCAAGGTGGCTATAGATCATGGGTTAAGGAAGGTCTTCGTGTAAAAGAGCCTAAACCTGAGACAACACTTTCCATCCTCAACGAGGTATCTTACACTGTTTGTCTTGGCTTTATTGAGCAGCTTTACTCTCGGCATTACTATCAGGCCTGATTACTATATTAATATATTGCATGGATGAAATCAAAACTACTCTCAGTTCTTTTTTTATCAGTAAGCTAAAGAAATCCTAAATTATTTAGGAAGCTGAGGCGATTCTTGAGGACATAAATCCTTCTCCATTGCAGCTAGTTGGAGTTAGTGTGGTATGCTTCTAGTTTTATATTTCTTCTTCTGTAAAATATTAATCCCATCCTGACTTACCCGAGGAGATCTATGCAGGGGTTTTTCGCGGGATTGTATGCTTTGTTTGGTGCGTTCAATTCTTTCTCATATTCCCTTTAGGATCTCCCCTTCTCGCCACAACATCAAGTTACTCACTGCCAACTTTGCCCTAACATGATCTCTCTCTCTCTTTCGCAGAGTGGGAGAAAACACTGCAACTCATAGCTGTCATTGGCCTCAGTCTGGTATTTATAATTATATACTACACGCATTCAATGACTTCTATGCTTTACCTGTCAGGAATTGTTTCTTTGTTATTGTTTCTCAAGTGTCAAACATTATGCAGACTATATATCAACGACTTTCTTCATATGATGACTCCGAAGACTTCAAGGAAGACGTCAGGTATAAAAGGCCATCATTGTTCATTACAAAACCTCAGCAAAAAAACTCTGTTTTGTCTTTAACATACGTTGTTTCTTGTTCGTCTTGAAGGCTGTTGTTTGCTCCTGTGAAACTGGGAGCTCAGGCATTCTCATGGGCTGCAGGAAAACTTGAAACAAATGGTGTTGGGCTCCCAACTTCACCTTCGTCCTCAGATGTTCGAAGCCGTGTTTTGCAAGCTGCTGCTAAGCATGAATCTAAGCCGTCTGATGAAACTTCTGAAAGTCTCCAAGAGGATGCATCATCACCAGAAGAAGCTTTAAAGAACGTTGATGTCTCAGAAGCGTAAAAGCTCCAACTTTTATTTCGTTTTTTTCATGTAATTTCCAGGAATTACTCCACTCGTCTCTTGGAACCGTTAACATTCATATAATTGTGAAGCAAAAGAAAAAGTGTAATTCAACCACCTTTTCGTTTTGATACCGCCATACTGGGGATCTTTTCCGCAAATTTAGAACTAGTTGGGTCGAAACCTAGATAAAAAGAAAGTTATAGGTTATAAAAGTAAAAAGAAGTAACTTCTCATAAATCAATACGGGCTTTAGGCCCAAAAACGATAGGGTTTCAATCAAACGCTTCGTCTTACACAGTATCGTGCTGCTCTGTCTCTATATATATTATATAGGCGTCTTTAAGATTTCCTTGTATGGTTTCGGCCACTAGAAGCTTGAGGGAGCAACAATGGTGTGAGTTTTCGTGTATTTCTAACAAAACTCTCTCAATTTTTAACTATATATAGGTAGTGAAATATGAATTATGTTCGTCGCTTGATATGAGTACTACTTGATTAGGCAAATACATAGATTCAGAACAAAATTAAAGTAGTTGAAACCGTGTCTTTGGTGCTCCGAAGGTATGCGTTTATTGTTGATCAGAAACATTGGTTAACTTTTGTTATGTTTGATGGAGCTCTTGGTTCCACAAACAACTAGAACGTCTCTGTTCATAGCAAACCAAAACGATTTGCAATCTCTTCTGTAGAATCTAAAGGAAGACATTGAAGCAGATGAGATGGAAGGCATTGTTCATTCCGCTGAGACATATTATTTATAAAAACGCAGAGGAAGCAATCTTTAAAGAAAGCATATACATATGGCTCTGTTCGTTACGTGGTCTCTTTTCAATCTTGGAAATTTCTTTAAGTCGCCATTTATGCATAATATCTCAATTTTCTTCAGGCTGTGACTTTCTTACAAGCTTTTTCAAATCTAATAAAAGAATAATAAACTTAAAATTGTAGAATTTAAAGGGAAAATGGGGGGGGGAAAACAAAAGTTAAAGAGTGCAATTATGTTCAGTACAGAATTTATTAAATTAATTTTGTTACAATAGCTGAACGTAAATTGCAGTTTACTATTAGAAGCAGATTTGAATGTCTTAATTTCAGTATTCCAACAGTTTTCGTCTTGTTGATCGATCAGATTGTTTGAGTAAAGCATATTTTAAAACTCAAAAAGAATGAATAGATCCTAAATTCCTAACAAATCAACGTCATTAGCAGAAATGCATGGGTGGTCATTTTTTTTTTTAATCCATAAGTAGAAAGGAATGATAAAAATACAGAAGGATCTCTATGTATATCAAAAATTGATCAGTGGATTGCTGCTGCACTGCCTTTTTTGCTACTATGTATTTTCATGAATATAAGGATATATATATAAACCATATTAACTAGATTGATACAATCTAAACCTCTGGTAAAAAGCCCCCCGTAACCCGGCAGATTAAAGTACATTACATAGTCCGTTCCATTTCCCCAAAAAGTAAATGAAACCACGGGAAGAATATCTTGAAGGAAAAGGTAACAAATATTTTGTTATTCTGTAAATAAATCAATTATACATATATTGTAAAATATATAAATAGAAACAAAAAAATTATACACATGCTATTTTAAGTTTAAACTATCAATTTAAATATCAAACTGGTAAGACTAGTTATAACTCTGTTTTTCTGTTTGTTAAAAATGTTTTACTGCCTTGAGGCTTCTTTGTAAATGATTGTGATGTCAAACTTCAGTTTTGGTAATTTAAAATAAAGATTCAAATTTTCGTTAATACAAGAAACTGAACTGAAATAATTAAGAGACAAGTAGAAAAACCCAAAATGTATATATTTTGATGGGTATTTTGGATTTGAAACTGAATTATACAAATAAATAACGATGAAGTAATCTAAAAAGTGTGAATTTTGCATATAAGAGTGATTTCCTTCTCCATATTCGTGCTTTGCTTTTTTAGCCTCGCATATGAGTAAAGCTTCTAAATTTGGTATTCGACATCAATCTCATCGATTTTAATACCAAAAATTGACTGTTTGATGTGTTTGTTTTGGAGTTTGCAAATCTCTTTAGCGAAATGGATTTGTAACAAAGTGAATTGATGGGCTTGCGTGGTTCCGTGATTTAATATGGGTCTTATGGGCTTTTTGGTTGTTATTACGTCAAATGGACATTCTGCGGCCGTTTTGTGGACTATATTTAGGTGATAAAAATAATTTTTTTAAAAATATCTTTATATTATATTTGAAGAAAAAAAAATTGAAATAAATATTATTGACTTAACAAAATTAGAAAAATATAAAAAATGTATCAACATTTTGTTACCATGTGTGTATTTAATTTGAGAGGGTGTATGAAAATCACAACTATCACACAATCTTCTTCTAACAGCATACTAAAAACAAGTCACTGAAATCTTCCATAAGTTAATAAATTTTGTTGCAATCAAAGTAAGATTAAGTAGTAACTTTCCCCCCATATAGAATAGAAATTGACAGCAATTTTTTCCCAATAGTTAAAAGAAAATATACTAAAAATTATCAAAAGTAATAAAAACTCATATCTCCAGAGTCCTCAATGAGTTAAGCATCCATACTTCCCCTGCCACTATATATATAAGTTTAGTTCACTACCTACTAACTCAAAAACAAAACATCACTTCTTCCAAACAGATTACTATAGTTTTAAGGTTGTGAGAGACACACAACAACAACAAAAAAACACATCATGGAACCAGCTAATGATGTTGAGAGGGTGGAAACTGATCATCAAGGCGAGGTTACTACCGACGTCGTTGTGCCGTCATCTCAAGTGCTCGTGACAAAGGATACTCCGGGGAATCTCTGCCATGACGGAAGGTATATTCAGTACAACATGTTTGAGCAAATCTTTGAGGTCACCGCAAAGTACAAGCCACCGGTTAGGCCTATCGGAAGAGGTGCTTGTGGCATCGTTTGGTAATATTTCTGTTCCTAAATCATTTTGAGCTCTTTATATATGTTGTGTATAACTGTAGATGAGACTTTTGGTAAACCTTTTTCCCGGGAAAGCCATGACCTTTTTTTGTGTGTTAATTTATGGATTTGGTTGATAAGTTTTACTTTTTTTTATGATAAAATGTCTTTTCTTTTTTCTTTCATGAGCAATATTTTTTTTTTTTTTCAAATAGCTTACCAGACAAATTCATAGTTGTTGGTGATGACTGGTATAGTAAACTACTCAATCCTAGGTAATTATTTAACCAAAGAGTGTAGTTAGCTTTTGCGAATTAATGATTTTGTCATTTTTCTTAGGTATATTTTGACACGTGCGATATAAATTATATAATATATATATATATATATATAAAAAACTTATTAAATATTGTAGATAAGAAAACATATCATATAAAATTGTGAATAGATGATAATACCATTATGAAATTATATGTTATATTTGTTACTTTAAAATCACTGGACAGATTGGTTTTGATTATTATTTTTTACTTTTTTTTTTTTTGACAGTTCGGCTGTGAACTCTGAGACCAATGAGGAGGTGGCAATCAAGAAAATATCGCATGCATTTGATCACGCCATCGAAGCAAAGAGAACTCTCCGTGAAATAAAGCTTCTTCGTCACTTCGATCATGAAAACGTTCGTTTGGTTTTTATTTGATTTTTAAAACTAATTATGTAATACAACCATAATTCATGGGATAAAAGCTAATTATGTGATATACAAATTTTACTCTCTCTTTTTTTTGGTGTAGATTGTGGGAATCAGAGACGTAATCGTGCCTGCTCAGAGAGATTCATTCGAAGATGTTTACATTGTGTATGAATTGATGGAGCATGACCTGTATGGAGTCTTAGCATCTGGTCAAGAGCTAACCAAAAATCATTGCATGGTTTGTGTTTGGAATTGTTTCTTGAAACTTAAATATCATGTTATTACACAGAGCTTGATAATATCCAATAAAATATAAATGTCTCATTTTTTATTGGCAGTTTTTCTTGTACCAAATCCTGCGGGGATTGAAGTACATTCATTCGGCGAACGTGCTACACAGAGATTTGAAACCGAGCAATCTCCTCTTGAGCACACACTGCGACTTGAAGATCTGTGATTTCGGGCTTGCTCGTGCCACTCCTGAGAGTCTTTTAATGACTGAGTATGTTGTCACAAGGTGGTACCGTGCACCTGAGCTCCTCTTGGGCACTTCTAATTACACCGCAGCAATTGATATTTGGTCCGTTGGCTGTATTTTCATGGAAATTATGAACCGTAAAACGCTCTTCCCTGGTAAAGATCAAGCTCAACAGCTTCGTTTGATTATGGAGGTACTAAAAGTAAAACCCTTTTTTTTTTTTTTTGTGTGCTAACAACATATACATATACGTTTTCTGTGACTCTTAAAAAAAGTGTTGGGACTTTGTTTTGCAGCTCATAGGCTCTCCGTCTGAAGAAGACCTTGGATTGTTGAGTGCTTCCGCTAAGCAGTACATAAGGCAGCTTCCTTATAAGTTTCCTAGCCAATCTTTCTCTGAGAAATTCCCGAATGCCCCTCCGTTAGCAATAGACTTGGCAGAGAAGATGTTAACATTTGACCCAAGAAAGAGAATCTCAGGTCAGTTTCTGTCAACCTATAGACTCTTTTTGCTGTTTTATATGGAGTCTTATCATCCTTTGTTGCCCACTTTGCAGTTGAAGAAGCGCTTGCTCATCCATACCTTAGCTCGTTGTACGACCCTAGCGATGAACCAGAGTGCCCGATGCCCTTTGTTTTCGATTTAGATGAGCGTACACTCACAGAGGAGGAGATTAAGGAGTTCATCTACTCTGAAGCCCTAGCTTTTAATCCTGAGGAGCCCCAGGAAAAGTTGACTTTGGCTTGACAACAATTATGTAATCAGTTTTTGCTTTTCAAATCTTTGAAGTTTGAACTTATTCTTTCCAGTTTTGTTGGATAATTTCCTTGTATTTCCTTCAGTTCTCTGTTGCTTGGACTGAGATTTTCTCAGAACATTCTTCATGTGGTTTTAAAAAAAAATCAATCCCATTTGCTGTTGTTAATTTCATTTGTTTAAGCAAATTAACTGAAAGACCATGATTGATTATGTGGACATTATTGCAACTCCCAATCCAACAAATAATAATACATGAGCAGTATTGTTGAAAACATAACATTGCGACGAGGAAGAAAGCAATCATATCCTAATTTGAGTATTTTGATTGACGACAATCTTACTCTTGTAATGGTTCTTTTGCAGTTTTGCTTTCGTCAGTTCTTCAGATTGCCAAAGAATCTAGAGAGTGGTACAGGGCCATCAGTTTCGTCTTTACTTTTGCTAGAGTGTTTGTCTCTGCTGGACTTGTGCTTCTTGTCCTTCTTTGACCTTTTAGAACTCGATCTTGATCTTCTAGATTCATCTTCATCACTACTGGATGATGACTCTGAGGACGAATAATGCTGCAAACACATACCACAACCCAACATGGTTGAGTTAACATAAGCTATAAAACATGACACCATCTGTTATAAGTAAAACTTCTTAAAGCACCTTTCTCTTTTTGCTTCGCTTCTTCTTTGAATCTCTATCTTTTCTATCTGCGAGGTCACCAGTTAATAACTTCCTCAGAACAAAGCTTCAGATATTATGTTAAGTTGATAATATATTACCTTTTCGAGACTTATCACTAGAATAGTTCCTTCCCTTGGAGAGTTTCAAGGCCCTTTCTGCATCCAGCTGAGCTCTATACTCACGCATCAGTTTATCGGTATCTGCTTCAAGTTCTCCCTTTTTCATTTCTTCTTCCTAAACATGTCACGCGAAGAAGATACAATGTTAAACATTTCCTGGTGTTCCATACTCACAATGCAGATAAGCTTCAAAGAGTAAGAAACAGATATTGCAGGTAATGAGTCTAATGACAGTGTTAAACTGAGCTTGGCCATCTATGGGTTATTCGAAATAAGTTGCTCAAGTTACTTTAAAACCTCGAGATAGAGATAGACTTAACAGGGAAAGACGAAACTCTATATTTTTACAAAAAAAACTGTGTCTATAAGCGGCAGTGGCAAATCAGTTGTTGGATTCAATGGTCACTAAAATTTATACGGCATTTGAACAAGGACTAAGATTGCATACACCATTCATAAGATCTAAACCTTACTATGGAAAATCATAAAACGACATTAAGCTTACCTTTTGCTTCTGTTTATACTCTTCCCATGTAATTGTATGTGTCGTCTTAAGGCTAGCCAAACGAGCCGCATGCCACTCTGGTGTATGAAATGAACCATCCACCTGAGACAATCCTCATCAGAAATGTTCCGGTAGAGATGCAAAATATAATCATCAAGCTAAACAAAGAAGAAAACTTGACAGAGAAAGAAGCAAATTGCTCCACATCAAAGTTTGACTTCTCCAAATGCTTCTTGTGTTAACAGATTACAACATCGACTCTTAAATCACTGTAACACAAACTTAAATGCTACACTTTTACGAAATAACATCGAAACATGAACATGACTTGGTATTGTCAAATTGGCCTAATACAAGTTATACCCCAAAATTGGTATTCATGAGAGATCTGCAAGAGATTATAAGCTTAATTCTAAAAGTGAAATTACGCAGCTCGATGACCCATTAACACAACGATCAACCAACAAAACTATAAGCAATCAATCAAATTGGCAAACTTTTGAAGACGTAAATCACTATCAGTTGCAATTGGGAAAATATAGTATGAAAAGGTACAAACCATTCCGTCTTCAACCTCCTCCGGCTGCGCTGAGCTGGAGCCAACCCTAGATCTCTGCATAGCCTTGTAAGCTTGATTCTTCCCCATAGCTGCTGTACCCACAAGGAAAAAGTCCGAAAATTTCTTGCAGGGAGAAGGAGGAAGACAATTAGAAATTGACGATGAAGAAGCTGAGGGATTTTGATTCCTATTATTGAAATCAAGGGTTTGGGGGATTAACGGTCCAAACGAGAGGATTTAGGGATCTGTAGAGAAGCGAGCGAGAGAGACGAGACGAGACGAGAACTGTGAGGCCGAACCGAAACGTACTGGAGATTTAATTTCACCCCCAAATTAAAATCTTTATAAAGAACCAATATTTCAATTTTTATTCGCTATATTATCATATACTATATGGGAGTATATCGTATATTATATAGTTTTGGAAAATAATAAAACCCTCCCATTGGACTGATTCATTAGTTCTTCATTCTCTCTCTCCCTCTGTCTCCTCGACTCGAGTAAGTCAGGTATGGATTTTTTTGCTTTGTTCCTTGAGTCCATCTAAAAGTTTCAATTTTTCTTTACTCTTTCAATCGATTCGATTTTAAGTTTAGGGTTTTTTAGGGTTCGGAGTCTTTTTTTTTGTTTTTTTTGGTTATTGAGATCGTTGAGGAGCTTTACTCTTCCGGTAGGTTTCGTCTGAGTTTTGTTGTTGTTTAAATTCGAGTGAGCTTATGGGCTTTGCTTACTCTTTACAGCGAATGGTTCGTTTCTAGAAGAGTGTTGTTGGTCGTATGTATACTCATATCTGAAGTCGTAGTCTTGTTTTCGTCTTTGTAGGAAAATTGCAGAGTGACTCAATTGATTTCCAGATCTCTTAACTGTTTTGCAGTTACATAAAGGATCGTGCTTTGAAGATGAGTGGGGTTGGAGAGAAAGTTTCTGGAACGACTAAGACACCAGCAGATTTCCTCAAATCGATCCGCGGGAGACCCGTTGTTGTGAAGCTCAATTCTGGTGTTGATTATCGAGGTCGGCCTCTCTCTCTCTCCCCCCTTCCTATTCTTATGTGTTTTGTTTGGCTGTGTAGCTTTGGTTTTTTAGTTGATGGATTTGTTTTTGCACGTTCTCTTTCTATCTCTACTGCACTTTAAGTTAGAAGTTTTGACTTTGGACTGGTTCTTTTGGCTATGTTAATGGAATGAAAGAGTTGCTTGCTAAGACCACTCAAGTAACATCATTTGAAGGTTATATTATATCTCTAACTTTTACCTGATTCCTGGAAAAAAAACTTGTCATAATGAGAAGCTTTCCTTACATTTTCTGTGGTTTTCTTGTGAACATTGTTTAATGATTTTCTTTCTACCTGCAATAAGGCTACAATAGTTGACTGAGAGATTTTTGAGCTTGGTTTTGTCACATAAACATGTTTAAGTTAGTTTGTCTCATGATCAAGGCTTAAGGTCATGTAATAGAGACTACTTCTCTCATGCTTAATGGCTTGTTTCCCTTGGTACCAAAGTCAATTTTACACAAGTTCTGGTCAAACTTAATATTGAGTTCTTGATCCAGAATTGATGACTCTTTTACACAGGCGTTCTTGCTTGTCTTGATGGGTACATGAATATAGCAATGGAGCAGACAGAGGAGTATGTAAACGGGCAGCTCAAGAACAAATACGGTGACGCCTTTATCCGTGGAAACAACGGTAAATTTCTCAGATTCATCTTTCTCTCAATCTTCTTCATTGCATATACTTGTTTTACATATTTTAATTTGTGTGTTTTCCGTGAATGCAGTTCTTTACATCAGTACAGTAAAGGGGGCTGTGGCGGACGGAGCTTAGGCCCATCCTGATGCATCATCATCAAGAACAGCTGTGGTCATGTTAAGGCTGCCATTGGTGTTGTCTTCTTCGACCTCATTAAAAGAGCTTCTTGTAGTTCACATGTACCAAGAATGTTTCTATTACAGTAGTCGTTTTTCTCTTTGCTATAATGATATTATTCACTTTTAGAAGATGCAGACCGCAGATACAGAAGGAAAAATTTTAACCTATGACTTTATGCAATCATTCAAACAAACAAAATTGATTTTGGCTGACCAACCAGATGAAAAAGAGGAAGATCATTAAAGTTCAGGGATGAATGATGTTAAGAAACGCTGAAAAAAACATATGTGAAAACTAGTAAACCTATCAATAATGATCATTTTCGTAGCTGTAACCATTGACATATTTGAATCAAAAGTTTCAACAAAAAATTACGCTCAAGATACCATTCTTGGCGTAGTGTGGTTTTTTCGTTATTAACCCCTTTTCACATAACTAGCAAAGAAGTCTCATACTCTTAGCCGCTTGTATTATATAACTGCTGATGTCTAAGCAGTAAAATAAGTAGAGTTTCTCTCAATGAAACTCTACAAACTATCTTTTCACTACTACTAAAAGAGTCTTAAAATCAGAGTATTATTTCCTTCAATTTGATTCTTCTTCCGTTGCATTTTCTTCTGGCTTACTTCCCAACCTCCCTAACCTCACAATGTCTTCCACCATAATTCTTCCCTCTGTTGGATAACAGATTCAAAAACAAAGATTAACTATCAGATGAACTTCAGAGAGATAAGAGCTCAAGAAGGAGAGGGTCGCTTTGTTCTTTACCTTTATCTTTGGAGAGACTACTGATTAGTTGTTGAAGGCCGTCATTAGCGAGTGTGTCTTTCAGGTACATTGCAGCAGCTGCAACTTCATCAGGTGTGACTTTTCCATCTCGATCCCTGTGTGCATTCAAATGTGATCACTTTAGAATCTTAAATCACAGAAACAGAACACTCAAACGAGAAAATGGGGAATTTACTACATACCTGTCAAGAAGCTGCCATCCTTTGCCAATTTTGATATCCACATCATCAATTTCCTTCTCGAGGTTTTGTATCAGACCATCAACCTTAAAAAAGTATGCTTGAAGAGTTAGCTCTGACACAAATCTCATGGAACTTTGATATTCTTTCAGAACGATTTAAATTATTTTTACCTTTTCCATTAGTGCAGAGGAAACCTCGTCTGCTTCCGCAACTTCATCAGCTTGGTCTCCATCTTCTCTAGCTGCTTTGTATGCCTTCACTGCAGCTTTTTCACCATCTACATCTTCTCTCTCGACCATTGTGTTATAGAACTCCATCTGGAGAAACAAAAAACAAAGTCTTTTAATCTAAGACACAAAAAGCTGATCCAGCATTTGTGAATGGCGTACCTCTTTCTTGACCAATCTCAGGAATTCTTCACGCTCTCTACACACCGACTGTTTATATCAAAAACAAACAGAGTCTTAATTCAGTATATGATAAATTGCTCTGCGTATTCAATGTTAACAAATCATAGACTCGTTCTTCTTACAGAAGCAGAAGCTAAAACACCCAATGCACGGCTAAGTTTGCAAAGATCATCTTGCTGTTCAAGAACTCTAGCTCTGGCCTGTTCTTGTGCTTCGCTGGCCGTTGGTATGGTCATCTCTTGCAATGCCTTATCCTCTTCGCCACCTTTAATGTCCTTAATCCTTGTAAGCTCTTCTTCTTCTTTCTCTTCTTCTTCCTGGAAATATATTAATATACAAAATGTAAACTCTGGAAGACTGGAACACACAGAATTCAAGTTCTCTAACTTCCTCAAGCATGCATAATACAATACAATCAAGCGGTGTATAATCATACCTTGATCAGTTCTTCTTGCATCTCAAGGTACTCTAACTTCCTCTTTCTCTCAGAAACAGAGTCTTCAGATGGCAGAGAAGTAATACCAACAGTATCCACAACCTCGTCAGGTAGAGAAGAAAGAGTAGCTCGGACAGCATCCTCTGCTTTAACTCTTCCAGAAACCGTGAATGCCCTTGATATAAACTGCTATCAGAATTTTTTTTGCAATAGAACTGATGGAAGAACGAAACATTGTTAAAAAAGAGTTCTGGAACCTACCTAGAGAGGATTAACAACGATGAGGGGACAGAATGATTAAGTGACAAATCCATCCAATCGCGAAGCTGCAAGATTGTCCCGATATGAACATTAATAGCTGTAACATTATCTTGTCTTGATGGAGTTTAATATATAGGGGATAACAGCGATAAGTTTGATAAAGAAATAACATAAAACCAAGGATCATAGGAGTAGAAAAGGAGAAACCTGTTGCCTCATCTCTTCAACTGAAACCAGTCCAAGCATTCCCCGTTCCCTGCAATCTTCCCGTAGCTCAGCTTCTGAAAGGGAATCCACACCCTCAGCTCTAATCAGTTTATCATCTTCCTTAATGCTGCAATAAAAAGGTGTAAAAATTAAACATAAAATCAAGGTAACCAGTCTACTAACAATGAGATGTGGAAGCAACTTAACCTCCTCAGTCTTTTCCTGAGCATATATCGCAGATAAGTATCCGTTCCAAATTGGCTAATACCCATATATTTGCACATGTTAATCAAGCGAGGCCTATATTTGAAAAAAAAGGAGGTAATTACTGTCAGAATATGTACCGTTATGAGCACAAGATATCTCGGAGATCAAACAAAAAAGGAGCAACAAACCTGCTAATGTTATCCAAAGTAAGCTCATCGTTGAAAAGTTTTGCAAAGCCCAAAAGTTCATCATTATGGACTATTTGACCCCTTCGAACCTGCAAACAAGGATTTTAAGAACAAGGAAAATGAATTTCAAATCCAAAAACCCGAAAGATAAGAAAGAATCTGAGCCAACACAAATCTGATCTTTTACCTTGTCTAGAAACTCATCCAGGTCTTCAGCGGTTTTCTTGGCTTCTCCAGTTCTTGAATGTTTAACTTCTTTAGCCATCTCTTTGGCCGTTTCCTGAAGAAACTTAGCATATTCCATCCTTAAAAGTAATTTCCTTTTCAATGCTTCCTGTGCATGAACAAAAGAGCAACATCAAAAAGAGATCAAGATAGCAAGAATGTAACAAATGACTGTGTAAAGGCGTCACTCCTTTGACACATACCTCTTCTTTCATCTTGTCCTGGAAAGTTGACGGTAACATATTAGGGAAGAGCTTCAAGAAAACTGGCAGAAGAAACTCCATAAAAGGTACGAGAATGAACACTGCAAATGGCACTAATCTAAAGATATCAGCTGTTGTTCGAGTAAGCTGTTGCTTTTCTCTTCTGGAGAGACTCTTTCCACCAGCCAACTTGAGAAGCAATCTAGAACTGATTCTAGTGTCTGCCCAGAGTAATTTGGTCCCCAGCCAATAATGTTTCAATGTTGACACAAACTCCTGCTTCCAGTGAGTGAGCTTTTTCGCCCAATCGTCCCTGCAGAAAACAGAAAGTCAGTACACTACAATATCCATGCAAAAGACTTGGCGATTAAAACACACAAAATGTCAGGAGAAAGCTAAACCTGTTCATGGCGGCAACAGCTTTTAAAGCAGGACCTATCTTAAGAACAATTGCCCATGCCCTCTGTACAATAGATCGAGCAACCTTTTTGGATTCTTGAAGACGTTTAGCTTTTGCCTTTGCTTTAACAGTGCTAAGAATTTCAACAGCTTGATCACATTCCTCAGGAGATGCCTCTTTCCTATTTTTGGCAGCCTCATCAACTTTTTTATCCTCTTCTTCGGGTTGCTTAGCAGCAACTGTAGTAGCATTACGAATGGATGAGCTCATATACCTCATCCCCAGTGAAGGACCAACTTCTGAATATCCATAACCGATGGCTGAGGAGTGAAAAGCATGGAAACTAGGATTGAAATACCCATTTCTGGAAAGCAACAGAAGACCATCTCTTCTTGTAAAGGACTTGTGTTCGGTCACAGGTTTAGTTTCCACGGGAGGACGGTTGATACCAGAATGGTAAGCATGTGAAGGAGCCGTCTGAGAGGAGTTTCCAATGGATTGAAAGCTCTGGATGGAACGAGCATAGACATTCAAGTAGTCGGAAATGATATTCTTTCTCCTAATGATCGCTCTTGACGCCATTTTGTCAAAATCCTTGTTGTGCAAAGCTGAATCACCAGGACATCAAATCCTTGATCTGATATTTGGAAAAAGGAAAAAAAAATCGCTAAATCAAAAGCTACGAGATGAAGAAAATTTAGGCGAAGCCATTACTAAGAATCTGAACCGAAACAAAACCCAGACGATTAATCGAAATCTATATGAGAGAAATATCACAAGCTTTACCCCAGAAAGTGACGATGATACCTCGAAATAAGTTAAGAAAATGAAGCGACAACTTAAAATGCAAAATCCTTGACTTCAACAACAAGTATGAGGAAAAAAACATCAAAGTATACTAACTTACAGAAGACGGAGGAATCTGAAGATGACGAAGGCACTTTACCGGAGAAACTGAATCACGACGACGCCGGAGAAATTAGAGAGGTTTTAGGGATGCGGCAAATAAATCGTTGAGAAAAGGGTTTTAGATTTTATTTTTTCATTATTTTCTTTTTTGGAGGACAGAATAAATAAAAGATATTTTTGCTTGGTATGAGTGAGTGAGTCTCCACCGTTGGATCATATCTAGGTCCCATACCTTTTCCATTGTACCCACGTGGACGAATCCACAATCAGATGTAATACTTGAACCCCAAGAAGAAATATTATTTCCTATCTCATAATTATATAAGCTTTTTACTTCTTCGTCAAAAAATTGATAGCCAGTATTATCTTATTATCTCCATGATCATTATTATAAGATAATTTATCAAAACTAATATTTGTTCACTTCACAAGTCACATACAAAATTCACATATCTTTACTTGTACATTAATCATATTGGATTTGGTTTCTATAAATAAATAGATATATATATATATATATATATATATATATATATATATATATAGCATAAACTAACTGGTCTGTCTTATGATGATAATAAGTCTCTTACCTTGACAAGTGCTTCCAATTTCAATATGAACAAGTGATATGTATGTTTATCATAAAATATACTTTACAAAACAACCCAAAAACTTATGATATGAAAACAAACAAATATTATAACAAAAAAAAGTTGATCTTCTGTTTCTACAAGGCTAGTGAGTTTGTGAATCAGCTTGAGTCTGCAAAATCTCACTCTCATCTTGTGTTCTTTCTCTCCATCTCTGAGATTTAAGTTATTTGATTGATTCAATATTTCCATTTCATTTCCTGCAAAACAAAAAAATAACATGATAAACCTAAATCTTTGGTTTAACTAAAGGTTTATACTTTTGAGATTAAAGAAGATGAAACTTTTTTGTTTACCAAGGGAACTTAAACGTGTCTTTCCACCAACCCTGCTTTGAACAGTTTGCGACTATCTTGTCAAGCCGAATAATAATCTCAGAGAATACTGGCCTCACATCGATTTCTGGATGCCAACATTCCTCAATCAACCTACATATATTGAGCTGTTATTACTGATAAGCAAAATCACAAATAATGTTTTAAATCATTAATAAGATCTCGAAATGCTTTACTCTTTCAACTCCGGAGGGTAACTCTTTGTTTTTGTTCTGATTGTTGGTCTTTTTCCTTCTAGACACATCGTTTCTGCAACCTCTTCAGGTGGTTTAGGATGGAATAAAGATACTCCCTCGGTCAACTTCACACATGATACCAAAAGAAACATTGCACGAGTATGAGACTTGAGACATATAACCATTAGAAAATGGCTAAAGATTTGTGTTACTACCTCATACAAAATGACACCAAATGAATGCACATCAACCCTTTTATCGAATATTACATCTTTGTAAATTTCAGGTGCTATATAGTAATCTGCAATTCAAAAGGTAAGCATAGGATCTTTAAAGACCAATGCTTCTTGTATATATAATAAAATCTGTTTCTAACTAAAATGTAGCTTTTTTCTTACTTGACTTATCGATTTGAGCCTCGTGGTTTACTACTTTTGCATTATCTTCTCCAATCTTTGACAGCTTTATCAAACCAAATCCAGAGATCTTCAATTGCCCTCCTCTATCCAGCAAAATATTTCTGGCACCTTACAAAAAACTTTCAAAATATTATCCAAACTGTTTTTTTAGCCCTTAACTAATTGTCTCTCGGCTTTGTCTTACTTTGGCTTTAACTCGCAGTGGATGATCGGATCTGGTTTACATTCATGTAGATAGTTCATGCCTCTGGCAATATCAAGAGCAAATCTCAAAGCTTTTGAAGGTGACAGACGACCTTTCTTTTGAAGATAAAGACTTAGATCACCCTGAAATTGATTAATGAAACAAGATTGCTACATTTAGATTCGACGAGGTGGCAAAATAAAGTGAAAAAAGAAATGCTTACTTACTTTTGGATTATGCTCAACTACAATCATCATTGGTAGATTTTGAGTGACGGCTCCAACAAACTGAACAATATTTGGATGCCGAGCTTTTGCTAGCAAAGTCAATTCGTTTGTGAAAGCATTTCTGCTCATATAAAAGAAACAGAACGAGAATACCAAAGTGTTAAGTTATTTCGTGTAATGTAACCAACAAATTTAAACAGAGAAATTCAAGAAAAAGAAGAATGCATACACGCGTTCAGGATCTGAATAACTATCTTTCTCGAATATTTTTACCGACACTCGCGTACCATTCCATTTAGCTACTTGATAAGTTCCCTGCAAATAAAGCAAAAGCAAACACATCAGCAGGATATAGAGAGAGATTTGGGAAGAAAAAACCTCAGCTCTTGTAAATTAGGAGAATGAACAAACCTTTGAGATGCCATCAACTTTTCGGACTTGAAGCTCGAGTGGATTAAGCTCGTACTCAGGAACTTCTTTTGGATTCCCTACCGTCATTGGAGTCTTTCTGGTTTTCTAAAATGTAACAACAGAAAACAATTCTTGAAGATGAAACCAAACACCAAAGGAAGAGGAAGAAACCAATCATCTTTAAGAACATAAAAGAATAATTCTTTTTGTACAAAAACCATACCGGAGCTTTAGCTCCTCGAGCTTTCAAAAGATTATACACTTCAACATTCCCATAATACTTTGCATCAACAGCCGCCTGAACAATGTCAAAAATGTCACTTTAAGATTGCAGAGTTCAGTCTTTAACCAAAACCAAACCAGAGAATCCAAAAAGCGTTAAATTTGCAGAGATATTCATGAAAACAGGGGAAGAAGAACAGACCGTACTACCCCAACGATCACGAGCGTCAATGTTAGCTCTCCGGCTAAGAAGAACCTTAACAACGTCGTAATGACCTTCACAAGAGGCAATATGAAGAGCCGTACGACCATCAAGATCAATGCTATTCACATCGATTCCTTCATTGAGCAGCTCCTCAACACCATTGACATCACCTTTACTCGCCATAAAGAGAAGCTGCATGGTCGAATCGAGATTCTCGGGGACAGACATATGCGGCTCGCAGCTAAGAGATTCAGGGCTACGTCGTATCGGATCAAGAGAAGATTGACGACCAAAGCTGAATCTCATGTTGTTACGGCGTGGATCCAGAGAGTTTTGTCGTGTGAACTGTCGGCTTAATGTTCGTCTCATTGATCCTGTCGAGAATTGTCTCGATATCCCACGCTTCAGTTGCGCAGCTACGTTCTCCATGATTTGATGACAACCAATGAATCGCAAAAGAACCAAGAGATCAGTTTAAGGATCAAAACCACATTGCATCTTTTGGAGATGACATGACGAAAATGGAAGAAAGGTTGAAAATTGTAAAGGAGAGGGACGATCGTGCTGCGTCTTTTTTGTTTTTGTTTTTTTCAATTGTTCTTCGTCGTTTTAGAGTTATCCACAAACAGAATGACAAAACAATGGTTTTCATTGGCTCACAATGTCGTTTTGAGCAGTAAAACGCGGGTAATCACTATTTCCCATACATAATTAGATGAACTAATTTGAAAATTCATATGATTCAAATAACAATTAACCAAAACGCCATTGATAACTAAATATTGAATAAGCTTATTGTAGTAATAATTCAAACGTTGACATTTGTTGATTTAACATAAAATAATTAAACCAACCGAATAGAGCAAAATTAATCTATCACTGGGTTGGTAATTAGTAATTAACGATGAGAACTTTGTTCGATTTCAAGTGAAAAATTGTACAATTTTTATAGAAGAGCGAAGACATTACCAGACCAAAATACAATTCTCCAAAGTTTTACATCTTTTTAGAAACTCGATCTCGGAATATCTAGTGATTGATACTTCAGAAGACGACGCGAAACTGTGGCGCGTCTTTGCCGTCGGCGGGAAGAATCTCCCAACGGCATGGTTCGAGATCGTCGGAAACGGGGCAGTATCCAGCGAGAGTGACTCTGTCTCCCGTTGCCGCCACGGAGCCGAACTCGAAAACCGTCGCGCGATCGGGTCGGGGAACTTCTATGGCTCCGTTCATCCCCGGAGCTGGTGTTTCAGATTTCGGCATCTGTATCATCTCCGGTTTCGACGTCTCGGACTGTGACGGCTTAGGACTTCCCGTGAACCATGACAGAATCCCCATAGCTACCCCAATCGGTGGTTCTCTGTGTAAGATTCAAAGAAGAAGCGTAATCTCGATAAATCTGGGGAATTGAGTTAGGGTTTATCTTTTTCCCCCTTTGTAAATTTAGTCTGGGCTTCACTTGGGTTTCAATTCAGCCCATATATAAACGAAAAAATATGAAATTTGATAATAATATCCTTATAATTTTCATACAAATTCCAGTTAGAGCTCAAACTTTGAAAAGGCCATATATAGCCCAAAAATGCTGATGCAATTATTAATCAGAGAGATATCATAAGTAAACGAGAAGCTAGACTCAGCGGGAAAGGTAGGTTATAATAGACTTCTTGTTAATACATAGCAGATCGGCATGGTTTTATAGAACAACCCTCCTCCGTTGACTTGGTCACTCTCGAGCAACTTTGAGAACTTGTTTACCAACGTTTTGTCCATGTAAAAGTCCGACAAGAGCAGCAGGACCGTTGTCGAGTCCTTCGACGATGTCTTCAACGTACTTTAACTTGTCTTCTTTTATGTAGGGAAGCACAAACTCCAAAAACTTGGGGTATTGATCAATAAAGTCGTAAGCAGCAAACCCTTGCATCCTTATCCTCTTGAAGATAATGTCCGGTAGATTTTGTAACCTGTCTCTGGTTTCAAGATGGTACTGAGAGATCATCCCACAGACAGCGATTCTCCCTGAAGTTCTCATGTTCAGTAACACCGCGTCAAGCGTTTTGCCTCCCACGTTCTCGAAGTATATGTCAATGCCTTTTGGGAAACACCTACAATGAAGGAAAACTGAGAGCTAGGAGATTTTGGTTATGTGATTCAAGAAACTGAAGTAAGAAGAAGGCGAATAAGAACCTCTTTAAGGCAGAGTCAAGATCAGTCTCTTCCTTGTAATTGAATGCATCATCGAAACCAAATGTGTTCAGCAAGAGATCGACCTTTATGTGAACGTAAACAATGTAAGAGAACGCCAAAAACAAAGTTGTAACTCATTTGATGATCAAAAAGTTAATTTCAGAACCAAGGCCTGAACCTTTTGTGTACTTCCTGCACTTCCAACAACATAGCAGCCCATCAACTTAGCAAACTGACCAACTAGCTGACCAACCGCACCAGAAGCTGCAGACACAAACACGGTTTCTCCTTTCTTAGGAGAACATATCTCGAAAAATCCACCATAAGCAGTCATACCTGTCATACCTATTATGGAAAGAGGAAAAAACAGAGCTTTTAGGAGAAATGGATGTATAACATTATACACCGTTTCTTTTTCTTTTTTAGTTTCTGCAAAAAATTGAATCTGATACAAACCGAGGATCCCGGTATAATAGGTGAGAGGAACACTGATATTGATGTCGATTTTGAATAATCTATCATTGGCTTTAATAGCACTATACTCCTCCCAGTCGACGATTCCCCAAACAAAATCGCCATTTACAAAACCTGGATTATCAGAAGCTATCACCTTAGACACTCCAATTCCAGCTATAGGCTGCACAACGCAGCAGCAGATTAAACCTCAGGTGGTTGTGTATATATCATATATTAATGGTTGTGTGAGTAACTTAAATGTTACCTTGCCAGGGACGAAAGCATCCCAAAATGCTGAGGTCGAAGGAGTTGGTTCTCTCATGAAAATCCCAAGGTAAGGGTCACAAGACAAGTAAAGATTCTTCACCAGAATTTCCGCTGATCCGGGCTTAACCTTGAGTTCCATGATGTCTGAAGCTGTGACAATCATAAGATCAGACTCTTTTGGGACACCCTTCACATAATTTCTCAATATCACTTGCTTGTTTTTCACGGTGGTCGTCTCCATATTCGTCAGTTGCACACTTACCCTCTTACTAAATTGGTCAGATCTACACACTCTTCCAAACTTATCTCCAGTGTTTTTTTTTTTTTTTTGACATCCAAACTTAGTTTGGCTCACATGGACTCACTGACATGCCAAAAACGTGTTTGGCGCGATATGATATATGTGGTTCAGATGCATCTTGCTGTGAAAATGACAATGATATGCGCCGAACTGATACTTGCCTTTTCTGAGAAGTAAGGACTCTCACCAATTCTTTTTAATATTTTTTTTTATATATAGATAAATTATTAAATATTATCTTAATTCAGCAACTTATGAAAAAAAAACGTATATGATCTCCTTTCTCTTTAATTGAGATAATTAAATGTTTTTCACTAACAAGGAAAGTAAATATTTACTTCTAATACTAATATAGTTTTTGTAAAACATAGGGACGGCATTAACTCCCGTCAATTTACCAAAAAAAAACTTCTAATACTAATATAGTTTTTGTAATTATGGTGGCTTAATATTTACAAAAAAAAACTCAAATTCAAGGCAAGTTAATATTAAACTAAAAAATTGCAGGCATTTGGTATTAGCAATAGTAGTCCAAAGAAAATTTTGGAAGGAACTCTCGCAGAACTTGTTAGAGCATCCTCATTGGGGTATGTTAGGAGGATAAGCTACCCCCAATTATAAGGATGGTCTTAGTTGATTTGGCCTTGGTCTCTAGTCAAGTTCGACAAACATTTTTCTTTTTCATTTTAAAAGATGAAAAAGCAACGTCTCATGATGCAATTTATGAGTTTCATGTTACACTGAATCATTGTATAAGCTAGATAACATATGCAACAGAAACTCCAAGATGCGTCAATATATCCCTATAGATTTGCGATGCAATGGCATCAATTCAAAATCCATGTCTAACACATCATTTCAAACTCATCATATTGAACCACTAGTCTCTTGATGGTCTGACAATTGATATTACACGAAAAGACTGTATTACAAATAAGACGACGTCACTTACATTTTCACAGCTAAAAGAAGGATTTACCAATACATTTTTGATTTTTAAGGTCACAGACAAGTGTTGGGGAGTTGAAAGCCTGCCTCACTCCCTCCGGCATGGCTACAATCTGCCATAGCCGGTTTATTCTGGTACGTCAACTTCACATCTTGAATTCGGATCCCGGTGCACGGCTTCTTTGAGCTACAGTCCAACTTCACTCCTACTTCCGTCGCCGACGTCCCGTGTATATCCATGAACGTTACATCGCTTATTTTTATCCCAGAAACCTATTCATCATATATATATATATATTTTTACCAATTCATCATAATCAGGTTAGAATTAGTTTTAATTTAATTTGAGGAAAAGGTGATTGAACCTGGTTAGGGCAGTTTTCGTTGCCGGGACAATAGTGTTGGTCGATGACGATTGGGTTTTGTACGTTGGTCATGAGGCAATGTTGGAAACGGATGTTCTTAGCGAATCCATTACTGGGCCTGGCCCATGACTTTATTCTCACTCCATTCTCTGTTCCCGTAAACGTCACCGTTTGCACTGTTATGTTTTGTACACCTGCCTCCACACTTTCTTTTCCCAAACTCCCAATGCTGGTTTATGCCAAAAATGTAACCAAAACACTTATAAAATCTAAAAATGTAACGCTCTTATAGTGTTTATAAATATAGTCGTTGGTGAATAATATTATATATATATACCTGATCCCATGGCCAGGGCCACAAGCGACGTTTTCAATCCAGAGTCCGCTAGTGCCTGGACCGATGGAGACACAATCATCGCCGGTAGAGATTTTGGAGTTGAGGATGGAGACGGTGGAAGATGACTGCACGTGGATGCCGTCAGTGTTTGGACTGTTTCCGTCAGCAAAAACCTTGACTCCTTCCACCTTTACGTTACGGCACCCGTTAATCGCGACGTGGAACATCTGACTGTTAAGTGACGTCAGCCCGGAGATCACCACGTTGATTGAGTTCTGAAACCCTATGCTCTGTTTGCAATTTTAAAATTGTTGCTAACGTGTCAACAAAAATATAATTGTGTATATACGTCACTGACTCTATGATTGGTACATGTGAATGAACTAGGATTCTACTACGTTCATTAACGCTTAGAAGTCAACTAAACATAATATTTTTATATTAGGTCATACTAAATTGTATTGCTATATATATATGCATGGATGTAACTTGTAACTAATGTTAACGGAAAAGTGGAGAAAACAATTCCGGTAAATGCATAATTATATTTGGAACGTGCTACCGGAATTGGCGGTACTTTATTTAAGAAAACGGCGTATATATATATATTCAACTTCAAAATCTATTTACTTGAAAAAAAAAAAAATTTTAATGGTTTCAACTATATACTATATAAGATTTGGAACACAAGATGTAAAAAAAATTGATACTTCAAACTAAATACGTACGTAGGTACGTAATCGGAGTTTATAGATTTACCCTTAAATTTTATGTCAAACAAAAACTTTTTCCTTTTAATCATTTTGTTTATATGAATTTGTATCTCCATATTGTTATTTCGTAGATTGGGACAATTTAATTATAAATGTTATACAGTAAATGCATAACATTAAGGCGCTAAAATGGTACGTAAGTTCTAACCGTGGCGCCACTAGGGCAATTCTTGCCGGATTTCTTGCAAGACCACAGAGAAGTTCCCTGAGCGTCAAGAACCCCGCCGTAGACAGAGATGCCGTCTAGATGCTCGAAGAGAATCCAATAGTCTTTACTACCGATGACTCGATAATCCGATGGAGCCACAAGTGTGCCTTGGATACGGACCGTGACGGACTTGCGTTTACACTTGGCACCGTCAAAAACAATGCTGCTTAGCAAAAACCGTCCTTTAGGTACCAATATGGTGACCGGCTTGACCGAGGCGCAGGCTTTTGCCCACGCGGCGGTTAAGGCCTTTGTGGAGTCGGTTTTGCCGTCGGGTTTGGCTCCGTAAGAGAGGATGTTGTAGGTTTGAGCTGAGGACGATGATGAGATCGATAGGAGAAAGAGAAGAATAATGAGAAGTGAAGAAGACGACATTGTTTAAAGAGAGATAGGGAAGTTGATTAATAGTGGTGGTGTGTGTGTGTTGAATTTGAAACGGTTTAGTAGAGTTTAAGGGTATATATAGACTTGAAAGGGATTATTATAATCTTTTTGCTATATATATTCTATATTATCATATTATATTATAATCGAAACCTTGGATCTGAAGGAGAAAGTTTGATATGAAAAATGATTTTCTTGAATAGTTAATTTTATCCGAGTGATGATTGGCAACAGATTTTGTTTTGTAGAATTTCAGAATATTGCAAGTGGTATACATTTGAACATTCAGGAGTTGGCGTCTGTTGTGGGTTATAATCATGATCTCTAGTATAAAAAAAATCAGACTGTTTAATTTAATTTGTGTAGACTTGATTGTGAGTAAATACATGATCATTTATGAAATGTTATTTTTTCATATAGTAGTGACTAATGATGAAATTTACGTAATCGGATACACAACAGTTTTATCTGTTTATTCAAATGTGTACGTAGGTTTTGTCCTAATGCTTGCGATTTTTAGAGAGTTGAAACTCAAATGCATGTGTTCCACTCCTCCTAGCTACACAAAAATATATATGTTGTTGTATTCATGATAAAAACTGAAATCCTGAAAAAGCAAGTGGAAGTCAGGGGCAGTGCATGTTGATGGCAGGGAGCATAAGACCAAAGCATGTGACGACTCAAATTGGTAGTAACCGATTTGTAGCTTTAATTATCAAATAAAACGTTACACACGATCGCAATTATTACAAGACAGGGCAAGGAGTTTACGGATCCATGCAAATCATATATAAAAAGAAGAAATAATGTACGGGTCATACGGAACCAAACATGAGTGGTAAACGTGACATGTGGAGGATTAAACGGAGAAGCAATTGGGCAACAATATTTTTGATGGGGTATGATGATCACATTCGCATGCATGGCCAAAACATTTCAGAAATATTGTGATGTTTTGTCAATCACAACACATTTATTGCCGCGCATGCCGTGTTACTAGGATCACGAAATGTAATTTAATATAATTGAACTAAAGTATGTTGAACTTAAACCATAAGAAGAAGCATGTCCTTGTTATGTTGAGTTCATGTTTCTCCATTGTCTTTAGCGTTCACAACATAACCCGTACGTAAGTTAATTGTTGGCTAAAAATAAATTAGTCTGTGGCCTAAGGCAGGATAGGTAGCTAGAGAGTAGAGAGACCTTTTTAAGTTAATTTTAGTTGGCTAAATATAACCGGTGGCCTACGAATAATGTAGAGACTAGAGAGACCTACGTACGTTCTTAAGGAATAACATTTATATCTTTCTTTATACAATAAGATATTTTAGAGTACTAGATCATTAATCTGCGCTACACACTATACATCATGCAAAAAAATTTATGATGTTTTGTTTTTTGTTTTTTTTTTTTTTGTTTCATACAAACGTAATTTCATTTATATTTTAAATAAGGTTTAACAGAATCGTCGACGACTTTGCTTGGTATATTGAGACTGATAATTAACATCCCCGTGTCCCAACATATTTAGAATATAAAGAATATCCAATATCATAAAATTCCACTCATGATACTAATAATGTTTATTTCTTTGTATTTGCTTGAAAGCCCACACTATATGAAACATCGATTGAATAGAGAACATAGAGATACCAACTGCCAGCATAAAATCAGCTTAGAAGTAATTTATGAGTTTAAATGCAACAGAAAATTAGCTCCATGCAATAAAAGAGGCTCATGCAAGAGCAATAAGACATGAAGCCATTTATGAGTTTGTTTAGTGTTACACAAAATAAATAATTGTCAAAGCTATATATGAATTATGCAACTTTGATCTTGCACTTTGATGAAACTCCAAGGTGCGTCTTTAGATCCCTATAGATTCGCCATAGAATGACATCATCCACCACAACACCTTGTGCAACCTCCACTTGCACCAGTTCAAGCCATGTTGATTCCCCAATGATACTCTTCAAGTGTTCCAACTCTTTCGATGTTCCTCCGTAACCAAGAACATGCAACACCTTTACTTTGGATGGACGCATGGTAACATCGCCTGTGTAACCATCCAAACCCTGTAGAACCATCAAGAGGATGCATGTAAAGGAAGTCCGTCTCTCTCTAGTTATATTCTTTCATGGGGTTTTGCAAATGATATACATACCTGGATGATTAGAGTTTCAAGCTTTGGACACTGCTTAAGCAGATATGGCAACAGAGTCCAACCTCGTTTGTTGTTACTCTCAAAAGATAAATTAATCAGATTGTTCAACACCGGTAGAAATAGTCCACGTTCAACACATCGAGAAATCACCTGAAACACACACACACTTACTTCAAGAATGTCTAAGCTCTTTAAACGTTTTTTTAGGATAAAACAAATTTAGGGGAAAACACTTACGTCAGCAGAACCGGGAGATAGATGCAGCGTCTCGATGTTGCTTATCCCTATAATCAGACCAGTTACATCCGGCTCCTTGACCTTTTCAGAATAACGCAGATCGAGCCTAGCTTCCACTAGGGACTCCAAATTAACTTGTGCGTACTCAGCCAAGGCATAATCGGAGTAGTCGAGGGAAACTAGACTTGGGGCGTCAAATGACATACTATTCATGGCCTCAACTGCAAACTCACAATCGTAGTGAACCAACAGTTTCTTGATGGTCCGACTCGATATGCAGTATGGGTATCCTTCATAGTCCCCGTGACGTACAGCCAACTCCTCTAGCACCGGACAACCAGGAAGAAGAACATAACACAGATCATCACAACAAAAAAATATTGAATCAATGCAGAGACTCTTAAGCGCTGGAAGAGACACATCTGGAGGAATATCTCCAAAATCAATTTCTGTTCCCAGTGTAAGCTTAACCAGCGTCTTGCTCTTGAAGAGCTCAGGAGGCAGAAAGACTTCACTGTATCTCCTATCTTCGGGCTGTTCAAAATCACCACTTTCAGAATTCAGAACGAGTTTATAGAAGGTCTGTATGCTTACGTCCAGCTCCAAAACACCACGTTCTACGGCATTACATATCCAGCGGCCCACACAAGCCAACTCGCTGGCCATGTGAATGACACATTTTAGAGAGAATCTCTTGATAGGAGAACCGCATTGCAAAGCGAGTGTTTTATCTATGAAATTCCTGAAGCTCTCACGCATCACATCCCTCTCTTCTGGACCATCTTCCGGTTGCAGCAAGTCATAATCATCAAAATCAAGATTATGAACTAATCTAAACACATTCCTCCACTTTTTAGCAAGAACAGAGGTTGAAGCAGCCTGTTTTGTAGGGAGTGAGGACAAGATTTTGCCAAGAACCTCATCTGGGAGCATGCTGATTGCATCTTTCGAGCTGGTGTCCAATGATTTGGCATCCATACAGACAGAACCAATCTCTTCCATAAAAGTGTCTGAAACATGTAGGAAGACAAGAGAAGTTATGGATTAATCAAAATGCACCCAGCGAAGAGAAAAATATGGTAAGATAGACAAAAGCTTGAACAGGTAGCTACGCGATGAAAGCTGAATTAACGAAGTTACTTTCAGATAAGTAACAAGGTTACCGAAGCTAAAGGGTTCACACTGTAACCAGTTTTAAATAGAATTAAGGGAAGAAAAACTAAAAGAGGGTAGACAAAAATAAAACTTTCTAGCATGGATTTACCAGTCATATGAAACTGAGGCTAAAGGGGAGCTGGATGTCGCCGCAAAGAGGATGATGGATGGAGCGATAAGTATATATATACATATCGGAATCTTCAACTCAGAATTCAGAATTTATTCCGCTATCAATGACCGAGATCTCTCCTTCAAGAGCTTTTAATCATTATTGAACATGGATAAATATCAGAGAACGGAGAAGAAGAAGAAGAAGGAAATATTACTAATTATATGACCAAAAAAAAAAAAAAAAGAATGGTTATATTGTGGAATGTTTTCATATTTTATTTTCATATCCTTATTAAACAATGGTTTCAAAGGCTAAACTTCCGTATATTTAAACTTAGAGCGCGATTGGTGATGACTTTTAAGGCTTTAAAATCATTTTAAAGCCTTAACAGTAATTAATTTGCCAATCAACATTTTTTTCTTTTATTTTGTTTTAAAGCATTAGTCACTTCTTTTTTTTCCTTCTTTGTTTTCTCATTTTTCTCAAATCGTCAAAAAACTGACTTTAAATTTAATCAATTAAAAAGATTTATTTTTCATATCTCCATTACATTTAAAACCTTTTCACAAGTTTATAAATATATTTTATATATTTTATTTTTATAAATTAATTACTCTCATTTTTTTCTTGTTCTTTTAAGATCCATTTCAATAATACTTTTATTTTATAAATTCATTTATAATATAATTTATATTTATTATAAATATAAAATAATAATAATAAAAATAACATGCATAATTTTAAAAGTTGTTCATTACCAATAAGATTTTAACAGTAAAAGTTTCTACAGCCAAAACATCTACAGCCAAATTCTCTGCAGCCAAAATTTTAAAGTTAAAGTCTCTACAGTCACAAGTAACAGTCGTTACCAATCGACCTCTTAATCTAAAATTTTATCACATACGATGGACGGGTTATCTTTATTTAAAATTAAATTAAAATTAAAATTTATTATAACTTATAAAAATATAATTTCCAATTTTTTTTTTTGAAAAAATAAGAGAAATTAATTTCATTTGGAAAGAGATTTTATTTGGTTTGAAGTATCAAATAAACGTGTATATATATATATACAAAATGGTATATATATATATCTTAAAATTCGTTATTAAACGTTAATTATAAAAATCTAGTAATGTCAAAATTTGTACAATCACCAAAAACGGGA